TACTTTACTGTCTTCAATTTATTCCAAATTATAGAACATTACGACTATCAAGTCCAAAATACATAAAATTTAAAACGCTAACATCACCTTCAAAATAACACACCCCGTGCAATGAACGAGTTAAAACTAGTCTTTAAAAAAGTGATATCAGGATACGAACCTCATCATTAAACTATGAGCTCTTATTGCTATAAAATAAAATATGAGTTTTCATCCATGTTTGGTACTTACTCTTCAAAAACTAATTTTCAATCAAACATTCTCCTATTAATTAATTGTGCACGTGAAATCATAATTTTTCCCTACTTTTTAACGATACATTTTTCAAAAGAATCATTTTCAGCAAATTTATTCTAAAAAATTCTACACCAAACATATCCTTAATATGACACATGAAAATTTCACGTGCACAATGTGAAAACCAGCATATGATATCACGGAACTATTCCCATCTCTCTAAATTGATATAGAGCTGATTTCGAATTTCATTGCTAAGAATGTTTCTAGATTGATATGTAGGGTAGGGGCCGCACTTGTAACCTTACAATGAATATTGGTGCTCTAACATAACAAATTTAAAAGAGAAGTAATGGGTCGTGTCGGCCAAATTTGTACCTTTGCTTTTAACAAATATCAACACGGCGGCCATGTTGTCAATGCACTCATCAATCATAAAAGAATTTCACTGTTCGAAGTAATATTATTATTTACAATCATGCTTGTGTACATTTCTTTTTACCCAATGTCAAATGACACTCTTTTATCGGACAACTTAAACAAAACAAAAAAAAAAAAAAAGTTTTTGCAACCAATGATTTTTTGACAACACCGCAGGTTTCAACAAAGGTGGCAAAAATGGATGTACAAATGACATAATCCTATTATTTATTGTTACTTTGTGATGTGATATTAAGCCCCTGTTTGGTGGGGATTAAAATCATATTTTTAGTATATTTTAATAAAAATTGATGAAATATGTGGTTAAAAAGTTGTGGATCCTATAAAATGTGTGGTTGAAATTAATTGTTAACTTTGACTTATCAAATAAAAATAACGTTATTTAACTTGCATTTGTCTCTGTCCAAAACATAAAATATATTTCAATTTTATTGAACAATACGAAGTAGCATCACTTCCTCAATGCCAAATAAATTGATGCTTACTCATTAAATAATAAGACAAATAAATGTTCATATAATTATATATTCAATTGGTGTCCCGTCATCCGGTAAGTAGCATGATTGAAAAACTTTGCATATTTAAAATTAATATGTCCACTAATTCCACCTCCATAAAGATATCGACACATGGCCTCAATTGCTATATAAGAGATTCCCTTCTTCACAAGAATTTTGTACTTTTGCTTTAGGGTTATTTACAAACATGCATATAATCTAACATAGTTTTTAATTTCTTCTGTAAATCTTATAGATGGATGGGAGTTTTTGTACTTCTTCAAAAAATCAAAGGCAAAACCGACAAGACAAACGCTACAGAGGAATAAGGATGAGAAAGTGGGGAAAGTGGGTGGCTGAGGTAAGAGAGCCCAACAAAAGGTCAAGAATTTGGCTTGGTTCTTATTCTTCTCCCGTGGCCGCCGCCCGAGCCTACGACACGGCCATGTTCTACCTCCGCGGCCAGACCGCCAGGCTTAACTTCCCTGAATGCATAGTGAAAGATGATGATCAGCCTCCTGATTTGTCTGCTGCTTTCATTAGAAAGAAGGCTACTGCTGTTGGCGCTAAAGTTGATGCAGCTCTTCACGCCTCCACAGCTGAATCAAATTCAATTGGATTTTTCGAAAAACCCGACTTAAATGAATATCCAAGTCCTGAGATTTCTGAGGATAATTGACCTGAAACATTAGAAGGGATTTGAGGGTTTTCTGTTGAAGTATAATCCAAATAAAGGATTATTTGTTGGTATTCAGTTTCTTAATAAGAATATTTGGCGTTATAAGTTAAACATTTAGTTGTTGTTTTAAAAAGTTTTAGTAGATTTTAATAAAAGTTGATGAAATATATGATTGTAAAGTTGATAAAAGTTGTAGGTTTCATAAAATAAAATACGTTGTTAAAATTAATTATTGACTTGGACCTGCCAAACAAGCACTTAGTATTAACAAGTTCATTTTGGTATTCTTGGCTTTCCATTTATTACTGTGAATGAATTTTGGATAATTTGAGAAGCCATAAAATAAGATGACAATAAGATTGAGTTTGGCGTCCAAACTCTCAAGACAAAGATAGACTAAACTAATTTCAACAGTAATAAAAACGAAAAGTAATTTACTCTTATTACTATGTATCGTATCAAATATGCAACTAATACTCTTTTGTCCATGTACTTCTATGTAGCACGGACATTTCAATTAGGGTAACGTGTCCGTATCCGACATTATGTATCATATCAAATATGCAACTAGTACTTTTGTCTCTGTCCTTCTATGTAACACGGACACTTCAATTATGGTAGCGTGTCCGTGTCCGATACTATGTATCATATCAAATATGCAACTAGTACTCTTTTGCCCTTGTCCTTACACAGTGAAAATTCTGGAATAGTGTGGAGGTGGGCACTGACACTGATTTTTGAGAGGGTCACTGAATTTTATTGAAACTTCAGTTGGATTACTCTTTAATTTGTCCCAATCAGATCACTGCAAATTTAATTCACCTTCAAATTCTTTGGTAGCCTCCATTACAAAACTCAATCCTACGTACGTGATGTTAAAAATTGGTAACAATTGAGCAAGTAAATATGCCGTCTCATCATGCTATGGCTTTGAAATTTGAAAATCTATGATAGTTCACGTGACGGAATATAATAAAAGTTCAATTCTAAAGTTTATATATTTACAATATATTGTCAATTTTCAAATTTTAGTGAAGAAATCTAAACAATTGTAGTAGGATTATGAATGATATATATATTTTTTAAGGTAATAATCCACATGCAAGGATATTTAGAAATTCATTCTTTTTTCTTTTTTTTCTTTTACGAGTTTTGAAGTATTTAGACATTATTGTTAAACTAGACAGAGTTTCTATTTCTAGTAAATTTACACTTTTCAATCTTCATCTGTTCCTCAGCTATTTTTCCTAAATTGCTAGAAAACATTTTAGTAAGAGGACACTACAATCATTTCACATGACTCAGTGCTATAATTAACAAAATTTTATTTAGAAGACAAATTTCTTTTTGGCTAAAATAAAATTGTCTATTAAAGAAATTTATCCTTTAGAATCTCATAGAAAATAGTTTTCATGTTTAATCATATAATTTATCATATTTAATGGTAGAGTAGGTTTTCTTTTATGACTCTAAATTATTCTGCTGCCTAACTGTACCACAATAAATTCTTCACTTTCTCTATTTTCTGTTGAATTTTTTATTACACTGTCTGTAATTAATTTGCATGAGGCAACGGCGGAAGATACAAAAAAATTAAAAGAGTAGAGAGAAGTTGAAGAAATTAAAAGTTTGGTCGGTTTATTTATTTACATTTTCTAGTGTAGTTGCAACATAAATCAGCTTCTATAATAATACTAGTCATACGCCCGTACAATGCATGGACTTTGGTATTTTTAAGGTAATATTAGCGTATTATAGTAATGGTATTGTGGAAGGTCGGTAAGTTTTTATCTAATAAAATTTAATGATGAAAAATATTATCTGATAATCCTCGAAATTCTGAGCTTCAGTTGATCTCTACAGAAATTGAAAAGAGTTTATATTATCTGCATAGAAATTAGTGATGTACTTTATTTAATGACAATAACAGATGAAAAGTATAAAGATGAAAAAATTTACAAGTATACTCATTTGTATATTGGTTGTTGCAAGTATTATAGGGAGAAGTGAAAGATGATGTCACCAAAAGTAATCGACTAAGGCATTACTGATTTTATAACTGAAATATTACTTCAAGGAACAAAAAGTACTACATATGAATGGTTAAGAATTCGTACCGTTAGCCTGCTATGATCACGAACAATTTTGATCATGAGTGTGTGCTCCTTGTCATTAAGAAGATCATATGTCTCAATATTGGTCATGGTAGAAATTCCCAAATTAAGTTCACAAGAACATCTGAAATTTACAAGCACATATGGTAATGATTTAACAAAAAAAAAACTTTGCTAGTTTATAATTAAGCAAAAACACATATTCATTATGAAGGTGGAGCAGAGAAGATAAAGTAAACGAAACTTTTGAAAGTATACGATACGATGGGAGTATTGCCCCTCATGGGGGTTAAGGGGGCAGCGCCTCTTATGGGATGCCATGACGGGGACTGTGTGCGAAGACACGGTCGTCTACGTCTCCGCACATTGCAGAGACACGGACGTCCCGTGTCTCCGTATTGTGCGGAGACACGACCGTGTGTGGAGACACGGCACTCCGTGTCTCCGTATTGTGCAGAGACACGGAGTACCCCGTGTCTCCATATTCTGCGGAGACACGGAGTGCTCTCCACACGCTGTGCAGAGTGAACACTCCGTAATGTGCGAAGACAAGGCTCTCCACACGCTGTGCGGAGTTTCGACACCAGCCATGTCTCCGCGC